GATGTAGTGACTATCTTTGTCTCTCTTAATTAGTTTTGGTTTGAAATCTACTTTGTCCACAGATAAGTTTGTTACACCAGCTTTTTTCTGGGTTCCTGTTGTGTGCAGAACTGTTTTCCATCTTTTTACTTTCAGTCTGTGTATTTCCTTTTGAGTTAGGTGTGTTTCTTGTATACAACATATTGCTGGATTTTGCTTCTTAATCCATTCTGTCAGTCTGTGCCTTTTAATTGGTGAATTGAGACCATTAACATTGATAGTTATAATTGGTAGATATTGATTCATCCTTGTCATGATGTTTTAATTTTGTTGGCTCTTTTATTTCTTTTTTTTCCCCCTTTCTCTTTAGTTTCTTATCTTATCTAGTAGCTTCCCTCTGTTGGCCCTCATGGAGTTGTGACCTTCATTGTCTTTTTCTAGGATATTGTTTGGGATTGTTTGGAGTGCTGGTTTGGTGTTCATGAAATTTCTCAGGTGTTCTTTGTCGTGGAAGTATCTAATTTCCCCATCAATTTTGAAAGCTAATTTTGTGGGATACAACAGTCTAGGTTGGAAGTTATTTTCTTTTAGGGCTTGAAATACTTCGCTCCAGGTTCTCCTTGCTTTGAGGGTTTGTGTTGAGAAGTCTGCCATGATTCTGATGGGCTTTCCTTTGTAGGTGATTTGTTTCTTTTCTCTAACTGCCTGTAGAATTTTGTTCTTCTGTTGGGTTTCTGGGATCTTGACTATTATATGTCTGGGTGTAGATATTTTTTTGATCATGGCTAGTTGAAATTCTATATGCTTCACTTATCTGTATGTCCAATTCTCCACCCCTGTCTGGGAACTTTTGTGCTATTACTTTTGTGAACAGTACTTTTATGTCAATTGTACTTTCTTCTGTTTTTTCCTGGACTCCTATCAGTCCACAAATGGGCGGGGGCTTCATGTTGCCTGGCTCCTCAGCTTGTGCTGGTTGGTCATGCCAATAAATCGGCTTTTGATTCCTCGAGTAAATCCCACTTGTTCATTGTTTATCATTTTTTTTCCTATGTGGCACTCAATACTTTATTTAGAACTTTTACTTAGTTTTTTTAAGTGATACTCTTAAGTCTCCATTTTTTTCTGTTTTTATTGTCATCATCAAGTTTTGCTGTCATTAGTGTTCATGAAGTTTTCCTTTACTTATAATGTTCTCAGATTTCAATTTCAGAGCATTGAGATTATCCGAGTTTTGAATCTGTGATAGAAATTCTCTTGAAATAATCACATGCTTTGCGAAGTATCTGCCTAATAACTTAGTTTTTTCCCCAAAGAAAACAATCTATTTTCAGAAGATCATTTTTAATGCACTAGTGAAATAACTTGTAGAAACTGTATTTCTATAATTATTCATTTTTCTAATTTTAACATTTACTCACTTTTCTTTTTAATTTATTTTATTTTAATAACTTTCAACTTTGTATATTTGTACATTTAACTTTGTATATTTGTAAAATTTCCTTTTATTGTTAAATTAGCTAATATTTTCTTTGTTTTTCAAAATCCAGTATTTTGATTAGACACACTGTTTATTAATCTGCTTTAACATCTGCATTACGTTTATTATTTCCTCTTAAATTTTCTTTGTTGAGTTTTACTTTGAGCTGGGAATTGAATTCATTGATTTTTTTTTATTGAAGTGTTTATGAATATAGTTTTTTTAACTACTGCTTCATTTACCATGGATTCTGATCCATGGTGGTTTTATTATTTCATAGGAAGTTCTATAATATATTAATAGACAGTGGGAAAGTAGAATTATAATATTGTTGGGCTGGTCATGGGATTAGATTGCTGGGAAAGCTTGTTTCAAATATTGCAAATGATAACTTCAGTGACATCTTTCATTTACTGAATATTTACTATGCATTTGTCACTGAGCTACATTCTTTATCTGCATTACCTCATTTAAGCTATATAATACCACTTTGAGATACTTATTTCCCCATTTTTAGATGATGAACTAAGGTTTAGATTTTTTAATATGATTTGCTCAATTCTGCATAAGGAGGGAGTTGTATTGTTCAAGGTTGAATCTATTTCTGATTCCAGGGCCTCTGGCTTTTCTTAGGCAATAATATTGTGAGGTAACAGAGGCAATAACACTGTGAGGTCGTGCTAGCTGCACAGGGTGACTGCGGTGAGGTTGGCACAGTGGGAGCATTTCTGGCTTGTGCACATACAGTCCTTTCAGGTACTGTTAACTGAGAAGGAGGACATGGAGCAAACCTGATTTATATGGAATGATAGTTAAGTTTCATGTACCTGTTGGACATCTAAATGGATTTATCTTAAAATAAGGGAAGCACATGGATATGGAATTCAGCAGAACAGTTTGTACTAGAGATATGTGTTTGAGTGTCATTAGCTTATAAGGGATAAATGAATAATAAGATTTGAAAATGATAACCTAGAATACTGTGTACGATAAGTTCAGAAGATACAGGAAATAATAAAATTTGTGTTTTAGTGGAGAAAGAGACTGGAAAGAAAATAAGGGAAAAATAGTCAAAATGTTAAGAAATCCAGGTGATCATAGTGTGAGAGGAACCAAGGAAAGGTTTTCAAGGAACGTGGAGGGCAGTTACCATGTGCCCTGGAGAACTAAAAAGGAGCAGAAGTCTTCATGTGACTTAATAATAATAATAGGGCCAGTGGATTAAAAAGAATTAGATTAAGGAGAAGATGGAGAAGGGAGTTATAAACTATTTGGTTTATGAAAGGAAAATATGATAGGATGCTGTCCTTGTCATTGTCTTTATATTACACTAATTTTCATACATTTAAAAACTCACTAGTGATATTTCTGTTATGCTACATTGATAGAGAAGTGCTGTACAATAGACAGGCCCTTGCCTTGCCTCCAGTTTTTTTTTTCACAGAATATTGTTTTGGAAGTGTAAGTTTGTGTTGCTGGGCTCCTGTCCACTGTTTCAAAATGGTTTGCGACTGTTTGAATTATGTAACTAAACTCTGCCCCCTCACAATAAGGTTCTGTTAAGCTCCACCCATTCTCAGGAATGTTCTGTAACTCCACGCCCTGCTTCACTGAGCATGTTCACAAGGCATGTGTTTCAGCAATGTTCTATAACTCCACCCCCTTACTTCAGGAACGTTCTGTAACTCTGACTCTCCCCACCTTCTGCATTCAGCATGCTAGCCTACCCTGTAGATCCCTATATAAGGAGGCTTTCATTTCTGGTAGAGTGCTCAGACTCCTCTGAGCCCACAGTGGGCTTGCTGGCCTAATAAAAGGTTTTTCTCCACCTCTTCAGCTGACCATCCAATTCTTGAGACTTCAAAGAATGAGAGCCACACTGAGCTGTAAAGCTCCGCTGTGCCTTCCTTCGGAGCACTTGGTTGCAACACTGAGCTTTAACACTTAGTCTTGCCTCTGAGCAGGGGCATTTAGCTGCAACACTGAGCTATAACACTTGGCTATAGCACAGAGCTGCTCCACTCTGCTTCAACAACATAAGTCAGTTGGAAAATTTTGACATTTTAGAGAAATTTTCTCTCACCATATGTAATACTGAAAACTAGAAAATATAATTTCTGAAAAATTTCGAAAAATTTCTGAAAATATTCCAAGTACAAACATGAATTAAAATTCCAGCTTTGTTTGAGTTAAATGTGTCTTTTTTGTGAATATCGTAATTATCTAGTATAGTACATAGTATTTCAAAATTACAATATTGCTATGTAATAAAAGTATACATAAGATACTTAAATAATAATATAAAGTACCAGTGAGAAATGAATATATTTTTTAGTTTGTTAATACCTAATGGGCTTTTAAATGTCTTTCCTCAGGGAAAAATGCAATTTCCATTGTGAGCTGCCTTCACAGAATTTTGTGGTAGAGCTTCATTGACAGTGCCACTGATGCCAATGTGGAATAAAGGTCTTTAAAATTCAGAAAGTCAAAAATGTATAAATGAGTTATTGCTAAAAAATGACTTGTTACTTTTAATTTTTTTCAGGGTGGGAGGTTGCTGAAGATTGAATACAAGCAGGGTCCTTGTACTGAACTACATCCCTGTGCTCTCTTGCACTCTCTGTCTCGCTCTTTCCATCCATCCATCTATCCATCCATCCATCGTTCTATCTATCTTTTTTATTTTGAGACAGGATCTCAGAAGTTGCTGCGTTTCCCAGGCTGGGCTTGATCTTGTGGTCCTCCTGCTTCAGCCTTCTATACTGGTGGGATTACAGGCATGTGCTACCCACCACATCTTTTTAAATTTTGACACACATATTACAAATTTATTTGAATACTTAGAGGAATATTTTAAAATAAAGTAATGTAAACATACCCTTCTGATTTTGACTTTATCTGTATTCTTTTCTTATAGTTGGCAATCAGCTATACTTTTGTGACCTTTTTTTGAATTTAATTGCAAAATTGTATTTCTACACTTTTTCTGTAGAAACAATCCAGCCATTGACTGTTTTAACCTGGAAAATTGTTTGTTGCCAAAGAATTAATACAGAGAAATAAGATTTATTCCTGCTCCTTACACACTGTGCTCAATGTTTGCTTGGCTGACTTCCCTACTGGCTCATAAGGTTACCTAGTGCAGGAGTGATCTTTCTTGTTCTTCATTTTCCCCCCAGGTCCTTGTGCCTGTGCCTGGCACTAGTAGGTTCTTTGGACCTCTTTTTTTCTTTTTAATTTAATAAATGCTTCATAAATAAATGAATCAGTATGTCATAGATATGAATATTTTCTCTGAGTTAGAAATGTGCATTTTATAGCAGTGTTTTAGTATATAAACACTAAAGTATTATAAAACTGCTTTGCTTGTCTGGGTGTAAAATATTAAACCTAGAAATACTAGTTTTAGATTATAGATAACTGTCTTTGAGGCATAGTCATAAAATCCTGGTTTTCAGTCTCATTGTTTTTAACTTCATTGCTTTCCCTTGTGTCTCCTTTCTTTCTTCCATTCACCCATCCTCTTTGTTTTCCTTACTAGTTCTTTCCTCTGTGTTGTCCTTTAGTATCTGGAGTCCATCTGTCACCAGCTTCTCCTGAGCAGGTTTTGGACCATGACCACTCATCTCCTTCAGTGGGCTGCCTTTCTCCTGATGCCATTCTCTCCTCCCCAGAGAATGCACACACGGACAATAGCATCGTGAGCAACGCTGTTCCGAAAGCACAGGTAAAGAGAAGGGTGTTTGCATAGGAAGTTTGTATACATAGAAAATTGCATAGTAATTTAATTGATGCTTATATAATTTCTTTATAAAATTATTCTGAAAGAAATATTTCTGCAATAGATATTTTAAGTTTGGCATTCATGCATAGAATGAAAAAGAAATTGGAAAATGTTTGCTTTATGGCACAGTTGCAAAGTATTCACTTAGCCTTAGTTACCAAAATATGGTTTAATTCATTTATTACAATGGACCTAGCTTTGCATTTCAAATTTTGAAATTCAAAACAGGAAATATTTACAATAAAGAGTAATTACTTTTCTTTTTGGGAAATATTAATGTTTCAGGTATTAGAGTATCTATTTCAATTTTAGGCCGAAACCAAAAAGAGAGCAGTCATAGAGTCTATTCAGATATTTATTGAACAAAGAACTCTGTTAGGAGTTGGATTTCCAAAGCTGGATTTAGAAAGTGTTATATATAATTTAAGTAACTTGTTAATTTTTCTAGAAAATAACGATCATTTAGAGGGCAAAGGTAAATTTCAAATTTTTATTTACAGTTTAAAATGTAAACAGATTCTAGGCATGCCTGTAAATTTAAGAACTGGTATCAAATGTGTCTATACTTTATCGTACAATTTTAAACATAAGAAAAATGTTTTAAGTTAGTATATTGCTATAAATATATATACTAAAGTTAGCTTAAAGTTGAGAGGAAATTTTGTTTCTTACTACAAAAATCAGTTATTATAACCCTCTTGTGTTGATTTGGGTAAAAAGGGAAAAAATTCTGGAGCCTTTGCTACAACTTAATTTTCAAATGCGGTTTGGGATACCCTTTGGCCATTTTCATTATTGAGATAGTGTAAACTTTCTTCTCTCTCTTATGTTCATGTGTATGTTTGTTTTTAAATGTGGTTTAGGTTCAGCAGTCAACACGCACTCATCTAGATATCCCGCTTTTTCCATTGGGTTTATCTGTTGAGACAAGCGATGGAACAGTTGCTCTTGTGGATGATTCTGAGGATCCTGCAGGAAATGTTTCAAACATCCAGCTTCAGCAAAAAGTTTCAGATCTGGAGATGAAACTCAAAATGTCTGAAGAAGAAAAACAAAGGATTAAAAAGGCATGTTAACATTTGCCTAAGAAATACATGTTTGAATTGTATATATTGGAAATTTTATATAATCCCAAAGTGTGATTAAGAACTCATCAGAAGAGGAAGCCACTCTCTTCCCTTAGGTGTAGTAGATCTAAGTCAGTCACAGCAGCATATTAACTGGCAAAGCCTTTGACAGGAAATCTCTCATCTTAAATATGGCAGTCAACCCTTCATGTCCAGGGATTCCACACACATGCTTCTGCATCTGCAGGTTCAAAATATTTAAGGAGATGAAGAGCCTGTGTTCTGAATTTTACAAATCTTTTATTCTCCATAAACAGTACAAATCTAGAAGTGATTTAATGTAGATAGAAGGATGTGCTTTGTTTATATGCAGATAGTTTGCCATTTTACATAAGGGACTTGTGAGTCTTAGGATTTGGATGTCGGCAGGGATCCGGAAACCAAACTCCTATGGATTTTAGGCATCCATGTATACTTTAAAGAAATGAACTATTTTTATTAGGATTTTTATGTTTCTGGTTTTTTGTTTTTGTCTAATATTTTTCTTTTTGGTTTATTTCCTTTAAGTGGAGGCAGTATTATACTTCTTAGGCAGATTTGAAGTTTTATAACATTAACTTTTGGGAAGTCAGGCATCATTTGAGGATATTTGACCAGAGCACTTAAATATAAGTACAGCCATTTTATTAAATTACTTAAGATACATATACAGTATATCTTAGAAAATTTATAGAAAGTATGTAAAGATTGATTTTGTTGATTGACATTAGTTGAGATGCTTTTATTCATTAGAATAGTTTTAGTGTTATATCAACGTTTGGCCTTGTTCTAGAAATTAGGATGAAATGTACCATTTTTAATATTGTTAAAATTTAACTATGCTTCCTATGGTTTTTTTTTACAGACAAATACATTCTGTGTTCATTGATAAAACTATTTTATCCCATGAAATGTTACAAAGCTTGTGTTTGGATTTTTCTTTCAGGATGTAGAATCATTGATGGAAAAGCACAGTATCTTAGAAAAAGACTTTCTAAAAGAAAAAGAACAAGAAGCCATTTCCTTTCAAGATAGATACAAAGAACTGCAGGTAGGCCCATTAGGTTTAAAGTTTAAAATACAGACCTTTTGATGGAGCATGCACTGTAATTTCAAAAAGTACTCAACAAATATAATGAACAATTTGATATTATGTTCTGTTTTATTTTTCTGCATTGTACTTTTTACATCTGACAAACTCTGTGTTTACTTATTACTTGCTTGGATCATTTTAATAGTACTAAGTGGCTTCTGCACTTGTCCTTCTCCCTAGTTAATTTGTAGCTTAGCATGTAAAGTAGTGTTTTAAAGTATACATCAGACTAGATCTCAAACATTAATTCCCATTTTCTTTCCAGTGTAAATCTTCTGACTCCTCTGGCTTCTTCAGCTTAGCCCAGCTCTCTGCATATACCAACTGTCACAGTAGGATCTAGGTGAATAGCCCTGTTGTGGGGGCAGGGCATTCCCTGAGTGTAGGAAGGGTGTGGCTCATGAGCTACTCATCTTTCTCTCCCTGGAAGGATACACACTCCAGGTAAACAGCAAAACTTGAAAATACAGAAAAAGGTGAAAAATATGTTTTTCAGTGTCCATTGGGATCATTATTTAATAGACTTACTGCTAGGACTATTTCAAAGAATATACTTTATTTGACATACTATTTGCTCTTGATTAAAAGTCTCATTTGTAGTACAGTTATTTGATAATTTACAGATTTGTTCCCAAAAGAAAAATAATGTCTGTGTATTTTTAAAGATAACTTCAGAGAATATAGTTTATTTTCTGTAGGGCATTCACCATCTTTTTTTTTTTTTGTACCGGGGATTGAACTCGGGACCTTGTGCTTGTGAGGCAGGTGGTGGAACCACTGAGCTAAATCCCCGGCCCTATTAACCATCTTTGTCTGTAATTTCATACTCTCTGTCTAACATTTCACCATTAAATTTCCTGCATGGGTATCTGCTTTTCAAATATTCTTTGAACTAGGCTTAATATCTGATTCATACAGTCTTAAAGATTCATGAGTAGAAAAATCCTTTGTGTATGTTCAGTTTATTTAAGCCACATACTAACTTCTTGAGTATTAAATTTTTAACAGTTCTCACTAATCCTTTGTTTCCTTATGTGTTTGTTCAAATGCTACCTTCTTGTGGAAGCTTTCCTTGACTGTGCTACATAAAGCATACATAAGACCAGATATACTTTCTCAGTGTTCTCTAACCCTCTTTCTTTGCTTGCTGTTATTATTTTTTAACACTTAGCACTTGTTATTTTATTTTGGTTTATTTTCTGTTTTCTCCTCACCAGCGTGTAAGCTCCATGAAATTAGGAACTTCATGTAGTGAGTACTCAATTAATACTTTGTTGTGAATGAGTGAAAGTACATGTATCCTGATCCCCAAGGATTAGTTACATTGTGTATAGCTACACCTATGGTTCCCATACTTGGAATTATGGTGTTCATTAAATAGCAAAATACTAAATATTGCAAAAACTTTGTGTCTTTTGTCTGCATTGAGTGATGTGTGTCTTTTCAAATTGTTTGAAAATAGTAATATACCTTAGAGACATTGAACTTTTCACAGAAAAGATAACCATAAATTCCATGTGGTATTATCATTATGGTTTCATTTCTTTTACTACATATTAATAGTGATAATCTAAGACTCATGACTTGACTCTTCAAGACTAATACTCAATTCAAAATGCTCTTCCTTTTATAGAAAACCTTGCAGCAGATTTTACCAGCCTTTGTCCTTCTTTTCATTACATATGAATGAAAGAGTGAACTACGGAGTATTTTCTCACATCAGCACAGAAGGTTTCTGTTTTAGTTAACATTTCTTGTTGCTGAGACAAAATACCCAACACCTAAAGTTAAAGGAGGAAAGGTTATTTGACTCACAGTTTATAGAGTTTATAGAGTTATTTCATAGTTGGCTGTCTCTAAGGCAGGGTAGTATGGTAGAGAGGCATTGCAGAGGAGAAACAGTTCATGGCAGGCAGAAAGCAGAAGGCAGCTGGCAGCAAGCTACAAGTGACAAACAGCAACCCTCTTTCTGTCCCTTGTATCTTACCCAGGCTACCCACCCTTGGGGGTAGCACTCATGCCCAGGGTGGGCTAGCCTTAATGCTAGCATCACATCCTTGATCTCAGCAACACACATCCTAGATTCAGCCACCTCTGAAAAGGCCACATGAGGCATTGTGGGAATGTCTAGACACAAGCCATAACAGTTTCATGGCCAAATTGAACTCAGAACACATGAGGTATTTACCTTCTATGTCAAGACACTGTCTATATGTAAAGCATTTTTTGTTGTTGTTATAGTTCCACAAGTCCTTAAGTTTCTGGGCATTTTTTTTTATTATTGTTTTCTCTGTGTTCTTCATACTGTGTGCAGAGGGGGGACTTTGAGAAAGTGATGTGATCAGGGGATAGGTGACTATGTGTTAGGAGTGGACCTGGTTGGAAGAGATGGTCCCTGGGGATGTGGCATGGAAGGGTGTGTCTCCCTCCTGGACCCTGTTTTCTCTCTCTGCTTCCTGGCTACCAAGGGATGAGCAGTTGTTCTCCACCCAGCCCCTTCCACAGTGCCTTTTCTGTCTTGGAACCAGCCAGTTCTGGACTGAAAACCTGAGCCAAAATAACCTTCTCCTCCTTTAAGCTGTGGGTGTCAGGTATTTTTGTTCCAGTAACAAAAACAATGACTAAGACAGTATCTAAGCTTTTTAACTGTACTTGTAAGTAGTAGGGAAAATACATGTCTTTAACTTTAGTCTGGAAGTCAACTAGAAAGCAAAATTTTAAATTTTATTTTTTGTAACTACATCAGGAAATTGATTTCAATTTTAAAATCATTAAAGCGTATAACTTTGAGTATTTTTTTTTTTTGCTTGAAATCTTTTATTGGTAAATTTTAGGTATACAGTACATTTACATTTATCATTGGGTGCTTGTACCTGTACATCATGTAACTTGGTTTTTAGTTTTTCCCCATTACTTGTGCTCCCTTTCCCCTCCACCCAGCCCTATTTGCATAGACTTTGTTTCCATTTATTTCTTTTCTCCTAATTTTTCCTTTCCCTTCTTTCCTTTCCCCTTCCCCTCCCACTTCCCCCACCCCTTTGGACCTTTTATTCCTATTTCAAATTATTAGTTATTTGCTTTAATCCTTATTTATACTTTCAGTTTCTCACACTAGAGAAACTATTCGGTATTTATACATGTGTGTCCTATTTATTTCACTTAAGAGTGTGGTCTCAATATGCATCCATTTAGCTATAAATGTCTCTAGTGTTTCATTCTTTATGGCTGAGTAGTACTCCATTTTGTAAAAAAAAACCACTTTATCCATTTTCCAATTGATGGGCACTTGGGCTGTTTCCAAGCTTTAGCTATTATGAACTCTGCCGCTGTAAACATGGGTGCACGTATATCGCTGGGATGTGATTCTTTTAATTCTTTTGGGAAGATACCCATCAGGGGAATACCTGGATCAAATGGGACCTCTAGCCCTCATTCTTTGAGGTATCTCAGTAGTGATTTCCACAGTGGTTGCACCAGTCTGTACTCCCACCAACAATGGAGAAGGGTTCCTTTCTCCCCACACCCACACCAGCATTTGGTATTGGTTGACTTCTTGATAGCAGCCATTCTTTGTGGGGTGAGATGGAATCTCAGTGTTGTTTTCATCTGCATCTCTTGAATGACCAGTAATGTTGAACATTTTTTCATATATTTAGTTGCTGCTTTTACTTCTTTGTCTGAGAAATGTCTGTTCATTTCAGATGCCCATTTTTGAATTGGGTCTTTGAATTTGGGGGCTGATTGTTTTCAGTTCTTCATATATTCTAGATAGTAGTGCCTTGTCTGAGGTACAGCTGCTAAAAATTTTTTCCCACATTGTAGGGTGTCTGTTAGCTCT